TCTCTTGCTCAGCCGGTCACACCAGAGCTCCTGGTGAGCCCCAGCAGCCAGGACGGGGACCTGGGCTCCGAGTGCCCAGAAGACAGAGGGAACTGGACGGGGCGGCTGGATTTCCTCCTTTCCTGCATTGGATACTGCGTGGGCCTCGGAAACGTCTGGAGGTTCCCCTACAGGGCTTACACCAATGGAGGAGGTACTCAGGCATCCTTTGGAGTGGCCACATCTCCCCCTCACCGAGCTGGGCTGGTGGGACCTATCTCTGAAGAGATGTCCCTTCCCCTTCTCATGGCTGGGAAGTTGTGTTTGCTGTTGTGGGGTGAAGCCTCCTCCTACCCCCCATGCTTGCTGTAGGACATTAACCACCTGTACCCATGTGTGGAAGGTACTCACCAGTCCACCTCTGCATTCATGGCCTTGGAGACATCCCCAGCTCCATGCTGGACCAAATATCACCTGAGCATCCCCCTTGGTTTCCAATAGCTTCATAGTCTGGTGTCCTCCAGGACTCAGTGGGGTCAGCAAACGCTTCCCAGGTATCGAAGGAGGGGAGCGAGCCTTTTGCAATGCAAGAGCCCAGTGTGATGGTGCAAAGTGAGCAGCTTGTTCAACGACTGCCAGAGTAACTGCTTGTCACATGCAATAATAGTTGCATGGTATTCGCAAAAGATTCAGGGAGAAAAGAGAGTCTGTGTGGAGGGGGAAAGCATGGCACCGGGTGAATCCCAGCACCTTCCTCCTGCACTAATGGTGAGCTGCTGCCCCTTGCTGCCTTCCAGATTTTGGTATAGATCCTTCAGGGCCACAGACGTTGAATGAATTTTATTCCTTGTCACAGATGGGCTTTAGGTGTTCGCTCTGTGTTATTCTTAGGGTGTTTCCCTTGCTTCTTGCAGGAGCTTTCCTGGTTCCATACTTCATCATGCTGGCGATCTGCGGGATTCCCATCTTCTTCATGGAGCTGTCACTTGGCCAGTTCTCCAGCCTGGGGCCACTCGCCGTCTGGAAGATAAGCCCTCTCTTTAAAGGCGCGTGAGTGAAGTCCAGAGCCTCTGCGGGGCCTCTGGAAGAGCTGCTTGATGAGGACATGGACCAGCATCATCATCCCATGAGCCTCAAAGCTCTTGTTAGAATCAAAAGTTAAATCCCAGGGGAATGCTGGTGGAGCAGGCTGGACTTCTGGGTTAGCTGTTTTAGTAGCTGCAAGATATGTATATAAGGTCTATCAGTCTTCATGATGTTATGAACAGCTCTAGAAGTTTTATGAAAATTATCAAGCCAGCTAGTTTACAAAATACAGCATCAAAGCTAAAGCAATGACTGTTAAAGGCAAGGGGAGTTCAAAAAAAGGTCAGGTCAAATACTTTTACTCTCAACATTAAGTTGAGTAAAATCATCCATATGATGAGATAGGTGATCAATTCAGAGAAGGCATGTCTGGAGGGTATAATGGCAAAAAGAGGCTCCCCCTGCCAGGTGAACCTCTCACTGGTTAAACATTTGGCTGCTGAGATCCAGTGTCTGACCCTGGTTTTGGATGTGCTCCACTCCAGAGAGATGGCTCACTCCTTCTTTACCCTCTCCTTCCTCCAGGCGTTGGCATGGGCACGATCCTCATCGTCTCCCTGGTGGCCATTTACTACAATATGATCATTGCTTACGTTCTCTTCTACCTCTTTGCATCCCTCACAAGTGACTTGCCCTGGCAGCACTGCGGCAACTGGTGGAACACCGACCTGTGCCTGGACCACCATGTCATCAAAGCGGGGAACAACACCTTCCCCATCAACATCACCAACACTGTCAGCCCCAGCGAGGAGTACTGGAGGTAAAGAAGACAGCCTGACCCAGCCGTGGGGACATGATTGGCATCCAGCTGGGGAGAGCATGGGGATGAGATGAGGGGTGAAAGTCTGTGCTGCACATCTCATGGCATGGTGGACAACCATGGTGGGCATTGTGGGTGCAGTGATGGGCTCTTGGGGTCAGCTGTGGGTGACATCTCAGTTTAGCCATTGGAATCATGTCCCTGGGAGGTGTCCATGATCTAGCACTGCTTCGTTGGCCTGGAGATACGTTAGACTGAAATGCATCCCATGCCTGGACTGGCTGGGAATTTTCTCTCAAGCCCCCAGGCACTCCCTCTGGGATCTTTAATGGTTGGTGGAGAAATCACACCAACTGCTCCCCTTCCCTGGCAAAGAGCTGCCAGTGCCTCATTGCTCTCTCATTGCTGAGATTTTTTCACGGGGTTATTTTTTGCAGCAGAGGCATTGCTAGGTTCAGAGAGGGTCTCTGGAAGATGGCAGGAGGTGCCCGTGGCTGCTCACTTGTGGTTGTCCTCTCACCCTAGCCGGTATGTCCTGCATATCCAAGGGAGCTCTGGGATCGGGGATCCCGGGAGGATCCGCTGGAACTTGTGCCTGTGCCTGCTTCTTTCTTGGACTATCGTCTATCTGTGCATCCTAAAGGGAGTCAAATCTTCTGGCAAGGTAAGGGATGGACAGTCTCTTTTGGGGGGGATCTAGATCGATGCTCCCCAGTGCCTGCGATTCCCTGGACATCTGGGAAAGTAAGACCCATAAAGAGCATCAGCTGGACAGAGGCCACTTTGGGGATGGCTTGCACACGCAGACACCAGCAGCGCTGACCCCACTGGCCCTGCTGCATCCCAAGGACCAAGCACTGCAGGGTGGTGCCGGGTGATGCAGTGTCCCCTCCTGGGGACAGGGCTGGGGGGGGAGCACTCATGCTGTACTCTTGCTCCCAGCTCTCCCAGCTGGCTCTGCTCTCCCGCAGGTCGTGTACTTCACTGCCACCTTCCCGTACCTCATCCTGGTGATGCTGCTCATCCGTGGCGTGACCCTGGAGGGGGCCTGGAAGGGGATCAGGTTTTACCTCACGCCCCAGTTTGATCACTTGCTGTCTTCCAAGGTGAGCAGGGTCTTGTGCAATTTGTCCGAGACACAAAAATGAACCTTCTCTTGCCACCTCCAGCATGCAACAGAGCTGGTTCCCTTACTCGGGTGCCTTTTCTGGTCACCCCCGGATCCAAAGTCCTCTCTCTTGGTTGCTCCCAGACCAAAAGTATTTGCCTTTCAGCAATCTGTCTTTGCTCCACACCTTGTCTGTACTGTTCTTCCCACCTGGCCCAGCCCCGTGCCTGCGTTTCTGGCTCTCCATGCAGGGAATGGCATGCTTGCCACCTGCCCTGGGCACCAGGACCATGGGCAGGATTAGCCCAGCCCCTCTGGAGGGCTGGGGGGTGGCAATGGGTGCCCATGGTGGATTTGGCTGTTCTATTTTTCTTGGCGTGCAGAGTGGGGAGTTTCCTTGGGTCAGCAGTGTTGGTAGCAGAGACCACCCAGTCTTACAATGCAATACCCAGTTTATTGCCATGCTGGGCTGGCTCTAAAACACTCTCGTCAATGCTTCCACTCTCCAGCTCACCCACTATGAGTGGTGAGTGTTTTTGCAAGCAAAGGCAAAGACCCCATGGGGAGGATGTGCTGGGCGTGCTGGGGAAGCGTATTTCCAACTCCCTCTTCCTCAGGGGGAGGTTTCCAAACCCCTGCTCTCCTCAAAACTGTTTCCTTCCTCCAGGTGTGGATCGAGGCAGCCTTGCAGATTTTCTACTCCCTTGGGGTAGGCTTTGGGGGCCTCCTCACCTTCGCCTCGTACAACACCTTCCATCAGAATATCTACAGGTGGGAGGCAGCTGCTGTCTCGAAAAAATCGTGGGTTGAGGGGAGCCATAAAAATCTCAGCTGGTGGGCTCAAAGCCAGCAGAAGCATGTGGTGCAGCACACGGTCACCCAGTGCTGCTCCTTGCCAGGCACCTTGCAGATACCTGGCAGCTTGCACGGGCTGGAGAGGGACAGAGGGATCTGTGGAATTCTCTTAAGCATCAAGACACGGTGCTTGGCTCAGAAGTTTTGGGCTGCGGGTGCTGAAGGCTGAGGATATTTGAGGCTAGTTATGCATGTTTGTCCTGTCCCCAGCATCCGCTGCAGGTCATCAGCAAAGAGGAGAGTCTGGGTGTTGGACATTTGGGCTGATCCCCTCTACAGGGGAAAGCAAGCTTGGGAGGAATCCCACAAAATGACCCATGTCATTAGATATACACTCCTTTTGACCCTGGCACATGCCAAGAGGGGCCCCGGAGGAGAATCACACTGGGTCACCTTACTGTGGCACCTGGGGCTGGCAATGCCACTGTGCACTGGTAAGGGGTGGGAAGGAGTGGGCATGTTCAGAGCATCCTCTTTCTCCTCTGTAGGGACACGTTCATAGTGACCCTGGGCAATGCCATCACCAGCATCCTGGCAGGGTTTGCCATCTTCTCTGTTTTGGGATACATGTCCCAAGAGCTGGGGGTCCCTGTTAACCAGGTGGCAAAAGCAGGTGAGGCCAAATGATGACCCTTTCTCCTTAACCCTCTGCCTGGGTGCACTGAGGAGCATCCCTTCCAGGGCGGAAGGCATCCCAGGGTGTCGGCGTGAGGGCTGGGGCTGTACACTCAGCTGGCCAGGGGGAGGGACAAGGGGAGACCCGTTCCTGCTGTGCAAACCTTGAGCAGCACCAAGTGATGTCTAATAAAGGGCTGAGCAAGGAGCAGGCTGATTCTCCTGCACTCCCTGCTGCAGGACTCCTCCCGCCCATCTTGCAAGAGCCCTGGCAGGTCCCTGCTGGTCTCTCTCCCCTCTCCCCTCTCCTCCATCCATCCCCTCATGCCCAGCACTGTCACCCCCGTTTCACCCTGCTGTCCTTTGCCTCCCCTAGGTCCTGGCCTGGCTTTTGTGGTGTACCCCCAGGCCATGACAATGCTCCCCCTTTCTCCATTCTGGTCCTTCCTGTTCTTCTTCATGCTATTAACCTTGGGCCTGGACAGTCAGGTAAGCACAGAGCCCACCAAGCCAGCCGTGGTGCCCAGGCAGCCTGGGGGGCTCAGGGGACCCTCGTCTCCTTTCTGTGCAGTTTGCCTTTATGGAGACCATTGTTACAGCAGTGACGGATGAATTTCCCTACTACCTCCGGCCAAAGAAAGCTTCCTTCTCAGCTGTCATCTGTATTGCTCTCTTCCTGATGGGGCTCATCCTCACAACAGAGGTAAGGGTGGGGGGCTGGATGCATCGTGGGGACCAGCTAGGGCTGTATTTTAGGGAGAGCTTAGGGCAGGGGACAAGTTCGGAGAGACGTGTATTCACATCAGCTAACAAGGTGGAAGAGAGACAACCGATGAGCCTGGGCTTCCTGGGCTCTGAGGGGAGCGACACAGCCTTATTCCTGTTCCTGGATCAACCCCAGAAGGAGAGTGATGTCTCCTGAGGGTGCCTGACCATGGTCTTCCCCAGTGCCCCCAAAGGGGTTAAGGGGGCATATCCCCAAAAGTGGAAGTACATGGGTGGGGGTTTGTTGGGATGCTGGTCCCGGGGATGCTGGCCACTGTGCTTTGCCTCCACAGGGTGGGATGTACTGGCTGGTCCTACTGGATGACTACAGCGCTGGCTTTGGGCTCATGGTGGTGGTGATCACTACCTGCCTCGTGGTGACACGTGTCTATGGTAAGGGGGTCTCTCCCCACAGGGGCACAGGGAGGAGTGGGTTGCCTGTATGAAGAGAGGGATTTAGAGGGAGCAGCAGGGGAGCCAGCAGCCTCACAACGGAGCATGAAACACCTCAGCTCCAACCTCTTGTTTCTTCTTGGCCATCACTGCATTCGCCTCTCCAGAGATGCTTGGGGTGCTGAGCCTGGTCCCTCAGACAGCACCAACTGGGGCCCCCTTCCTGCATCTCCCAGCTGGGAGGGGAGACTCTTCTTTGCTGTAGAGGATGCAAACCACCACTTTCGGTCAGTGCAGGGCAACCTGGTACAGGCACCTGGTTCTGGGGGAGAGATCGCGGCTTCTGAGTCCCTCTCCCTCTTCCAGGCATGAAGAGGTTCTGCCGAGATATCCACATGATGCTGGGCTTCAAACCAGGGCCCTACTTCAGAGCCTGCTGGATGATCCTGTCCCCAGCAACAATGATGGTAATTGCTCAGCTTGAGGTGCTGGGTGGTGTTGGAGAGCCGCAGTGGTGCCAGCATCCCTGAACGACCTCCGCTTGCAAGAAGTCGCTCTGCTGGCATCTCCTGCCCCAGGGACCATTCTGGTTCTTCTGGGAGGTCTCCAGACCTTTTTGGAACATGAGACCTTCAGAGGGCTGTGGGCTGACCTCGCTTTCTTCCCATTCCGCAGGCTCTGCTGGTGTACAACATCATCAAGTACCAGCCCTCTGAGTACGGCAGCTATCGCTTCCCTGGCTGGGCAGAGGTCCTGGGCATCCTCATGGGAGTCCTCTCCTGCCTGATGATTCCCGTGGGCATGGTGGTGGCTGTGCTCCGAGAAGAAGGGACGCTGTGGGAGGTAGGAGGTGTTGGGGCCCAGCATTGCTGGGGAATGCCCCAGAAATGTGCAGGGGTGACCATGAGCCGCTGCTGAGCCTGTATCCTCTCACAGTTTCTGCATCCTCACTCCTGGAGGTGCGTGTCCCCATCCCTCCTTGCTGCCCACAGGGTGTGAGAGACGCTGCGTCCCAGGGCATTTCCAGCAGTGTCCCCTTCTGCGATGCCAGGCAGGCACTGAGTCATGCTGCTTCCCAAGGGGCAGCCCTGTGCGCATCCCCCCTCCAAAACAAGCCTGCTATGCCTTGCCCTGCCAGGAAATCCATTGTCCCTAGCGCAGGGCAGGCACAGGCACGTGGGACTTTGCACCCATTTTGCAGGAGCAGCAGCAGAGCAAGGCAGGCAGCTGCCGGACGGTGCAGGCAGCCATGGGCAGTGTGAGTGGGATCCCTCAGCCGAAAGTTTTCACCTAGGAGCAGGTTACGGAGCTGCTGGCTGCTCACAGCCTTCCCAGCCCTGGCTGGGCTTTGCTGCTCTCGCCAGGCTGTCGAAAGCAGAGGCAGCAGAGCTTGCTGCCCTCCCCAGGCAGCACCTCCCTGGCTGGAGCTCTTTACTGGCTGCAGCCTGGCTTGGCACAGCTGTGGGCACAGTGGCATGGCCTTGGCTGAGCCTAACCTGGGTGACTCTGACCCCAAACCACAGGGCCATAGCCCTACAATAGCCCCTAATTCCTGCAAGCCCTCACCACCAGCACCCACAGACCATAACACCTCCACAGCAGGGCTCATATGTAGAGCTGCCTTCTCAAAAAACTTCAGGACAAGCTTTTGGCCCCATCCCATCCTTACTGGGGGCTCTTCCAGTCCCCTGGGAGGGGTGGGTGAGCTGCTGGGTAGGGGTGCTGTTTGGGGAGCAGAGGGGGTGCCAGTGCAGGGTGCCCATGCTGCCTCCGCCTGTCTCCTCCCAGCGAGTCCAGCAAGCCAGCCGGCCCGCCATGGACTGGGGCCCATCGCTGGAGGAGAATCGGACTGGCATGTATGTGGCAAGCCTGGCCGGCAGCCAGTCCCCCAAGCCGCTGATGGTCCACATGCGGAAATACGGGGGCATCACCAGCTACGAGAACACGGCCATTGAGGTGGACCGCGAGATGGAAGAGGAGGAGGAGGAAGAGTCCATGATGTGAGGAGACCCAGCACCCCATGGGCTGGAGCGGGGCTCACCTCCCAATTTGCACAGGTTGCACTGCGGCACTTCAGAATGGCTCACGGGGGGGTCTTGCAGGGAGCAGTACAGAGCTGCCGACCCTGCTGGCCTCCTCACTACCACCCTGGTCCTGCCAGGATGGAGCTGCTGCCCGTCCCGGTGCCCCCGAGGTGTTTCTGTTCAGTGTGTCAAGCTGTGTGACAAGTCTGTGCGTTCGTGTGATGGTGTCTGGTTCACATGTCTGGGCTGCCCCACTCCCACCCTCGGCCCCAGCCCTGCCCTCCCTGCTCAGGGATGCTCGGGCTGCAGGGATGTTCAGGCTACAGGCGTGCTCAGGTTGCAGGAGGTGGGGAGGAGGAGGAGGTCCTCTGCATTGGTCTGATGTCTGCTCATGTGTATTTAACTCCAGTAACCCATAAACACATGCAAAGGGGGACTGTAATATCCTCCATGCCCTGAGGATGGTGTGTGCCGGTGCGCTCTGCTCATACGGAGGTACTCCAGCAAAACCAGCACAAATCAGTGCCCTGCTAAAGAAATCGGACCTAATAAATGAGTTGTTAAAGACAATTAAGAAGGGGGAAAAAAAAAAAAGCGCGCTTTATAAACAAACTTGCTTGGGCCTTTCCAAGCTCGTAGATCCTGCAGGGACCTCAGTGGGTCAGGGCAGCTCTTCCCCGTGGTGCCTGGCAGGGCTGGGGTGAGCTGACGTGAGGGAAGAGGCTGGGTGAGCTGGTCCCCATGCGTGCAGGAGGTCAGGGACAGGTCTCAGCTGGACCCAGTGCCAAAGGAGAACCCGTGCCCATCCCCAAGTGGGATCTGAGGGCTGCCCCTGGCCCTGGGTGCTACCTTTCCCAGGGAAAGGCGAAGGGCTGGGTTTCAGTGCCTGCATGTGATTTTGGGGTAGCACAGCCCAGGGCCCATGTCCCAGAGACTCCATCTCCTGCTGCTGCTGCTGGCCTGGGGGTGCTGGTGAACTCATGGATGGGGCTGTTTGGACCCGATGCTGCCAGTCCTCATCACCCTGGTGTCATGTGCTCCTTCCTCCGTGTACCATTGGCTTGCCATTAAAAAGCGGTGTGTGACACAGCCTCTGCGTGAGTTATTTGGGGGGTCCATGCAAGAAGGGCACATCTAGGGGGGCTTCCAGGGATGGGGGCCACAGGCTTTCTGGGCTTTGTCCTGCAAATCTCTGTCATGGTCAGGTAAAAGCCAAAAACCCAGGACAAACAGAAAAATTAGGGTTTATGTCTGGGTTAGGCATGTGGCCCCGGTGCACTGGACTATTAGCCCCCTGAGTCACGCAGCCCTGGGTTGAGTTCCGTGGGCTGAGACTCCAGGGTGAATCCTGGCATGAGGCTGCAGTTTTCCTTAACAACCCTTCCCTACAGCAGAGGAGATTTAATTATTGCCTTCATTCCTTTGAGAGCATAGGGCCAGCTCCAACACCTCTTCCTGCCCGCCCGCCTCCCCATGCCTGGGGGTGCTGAGCTCCCTCCCTGGCTGGCTCTGCCCTTCCTTTTCCTTGCAGGACCACCGGTGGCTTTCCACATCCTCCTTGCCATACCCCGCCATGGCTGCAGCCCGCGGGGATGATGAGGGTCCCCCAGCCCCGGCTTCCCCGGGTGCGTGGGGCTCTGGCAGCACAACCACACTGCAAAGCACCTTCGGCCGCTAGCCCCCAGGTTAATCATTAGAGGTTGGCCATAAAAGTGTCGCTGATGGAAAGTTCAGGCCGTGGCGGCTGGGGAGCGGGGAGGGCCTGCCATAAACATTTATGGCCCCAATGAATCCCTCGCTCTAACCTTGACACTATTTACTGAGCAGGAGGCCTCGGGAGGTCACGGTGTTGCCCAGCCATCGCTGTGGGTGCTGGCCGGGGAGCCCAGGTTGGGCTGGCCCCAAGAGGGGCACACAGGGGGGTCTGCATGGTGTGACGGAGTGGGTGATGGTCTCGGGTGTTTCATGATGTCGCTGCCAGCCGCAATGTGCCAGAGCAGTGAGGAGAGCCCGACGCCTTCCCATGGCATGGAGATGGAGGTGCCTTGGGCTGACCAAGATGCTCCAGTCTCTGCACATCTCTGACCTTTTCCTACCTACATGGGGTCCTGCCATATTCCCCAAATCCCCCTTTGTAATCCTGGGAACCTCTGGGCTCTCTCTTGGCAGCTGCCATCCATCAGTGTTGCATGGCAGAAGGATGGGAAGGACGGAGCAGGGACGTCGCTGGGGATGTGGTGGGGAGCAAAGCTGACAGCGGTGAGGGGGAACCAAGGGCAAAGGGTGCCGGGGCAGTGGCACAGCCGAAGGACACGTCCCCTGGGCCATGCGTGG